TCTGCTTGAAATATTAAAGGAAGGAGATAGAGCTAGAAAGTTTCCATAAAGTATGTAATTTCTTTCTAAGTACTTCACAGTGAATAATGAGTTAGGTTCTCTGTTCACTTGCAACAAGAAAGCATAACTGTCACAGTGGATTTATTGTAAAGAAAAAAATAAGAGTAAGTAGATTTATTACAAAGAAGAAGGAGTTCAGTTACAGAATACTGGAAACTGGATATTGCAACTTGCCCTCATGTAACATTTGGCCCTTGTAAAATATTAAGGTGGAGCCTTCCTATTGTTTGTTTATCATTTATTTTGATCATAGACCAGCATAAGGATAAGAAAAATCACTCTAAAATAGAAATAAAAAATATATTGATAGAATTAAAAAAAACACCTAAAATTAAACATTATTAGTGTAAAATTGCAAAGTATGGGGATTAAAACCAAGAAGAGACCTATAAAATTACAGTCAACCTGAATACTATAAGTTATTAAGGTACATAACTATAAATAAATATATACGTTGTTGTGCCTTCAAGTCAGTGTTGAATCCTGCAACTGCCTGATTAGTCCCTATTGTTTTCTTGGCAAGGTTTTTTGGAAGTGGATAGCCATTGTCTTCTTCCTATGGCTAAGAGCAGGGCTTTTTTTCTCATAGGACACCCAGAACGGAGTTCCAGCACCTTTTTGGGATGGAATCTTGTAGGGTAGGCAAGGCGGGTTGTATGACATGTGTGAGTTCCGGCACTTTTTTTTTTTTTTTTTGAAAAAAAGCACTGGCTAAGAGAGAGAATAACTGGCCAAGGGTCACCCAGCTGGTTTCATGCTTAAAGTGGGACTAGAACTCGCAGTCTTACAGAGTTTCTAGCCTGGTGCCTCAGTTATGTCATCAAACTGGCTCCCATACAAAAGAAGTACTCTATTTATAAGACACTATCAGAATGTAAAGTTATTCTAATTTATATTGAGCCTAATATTTGCAGAAATCCTGTTAGGATTTGTTGGGATTATGATAGTTATGATTCCACCAGTTGCAACAAAGAAACAAGAGGAAACATTTAATGCATTTCCCTGCATTACATCAGCCCATCACTTACACAGGCAATTGGTTCTCCTACCTTACTGAGGTCAGTGGTGCTACGGGTCTTTCTGGGTACTAAATTTCTGATCATATAATGTAAAACCAATATACAATTTCTTCACATTTTTCTTATTAAGTGCAGATTTCAAATGCATTCAGAATGATGACAATATGCTTGCTTGTCTGTACCTTGCAGAAAATACCCTTCAGCAGATTGATTCTCACTTTCTGTTTCAAACTGAGTTTTCATTGCTCTTTGAATTAACGGCTTTTTTCCTTCCTTCACAAAAAAATATGCACATACATTTTAAGGGTCCCCACCCGTATACAAGAACACACCCAGTGCCCAAGCTTTGTTCACATGTATTTGTATACATTTGGTTATCTGCAAAGCATTCTCCTAATTAAGCTGCTAGAGGTATGGTTGCAAGTAATTTTTAAAAATTATTTATAAATAAACTGAAAAGCCTTATAGGTTTTCTGTTCACTTTAGTGCTTAATCAGCAATGCACACATTGTTCTAGCAAGCCATGAGGTATGTTAATCCAGCAAATCCTGCATATGCCAGCAAAATTGCCTTTGAAGGCATTTCTTTGGCTAGGTAAATGAAGCATTAACTGGGAGTTGGTAGTCAGAAGACATGGCAGGCAGGTTTTCCAGTAGAAAAAGTAAGGCCCACTAATGCAGTCTGAACTTGTAATGCAAGTTTCATCCAAATCTTAAGTGAGGGTGACAACATGCACATCTATTTTCTCAGGTGGGATGAGTCAGAGGTTTTGGCAATGTGCATTGTGAGTGTACTAGTTTATAGAACATCATGTCTACATTATTGATCATGGCATAGAGCCCAAAAATCGTAGAGAAACCATCATCTGAGATACTCACTTTCCAAACATTCTGTCACTATCTCATTTCTTATAATTTAAACCATTATTCTGAATGCTGCATTGTGAGAGGATTAAACACATGCTATACCCTCCTATTTTTGATATTTTGTTCTTATTACTTTATTTTTTGCAGTTTTAATATAACAATTTGCTTCCCACATTCAATCCATTGACATGAACAGTTCTAGAAGGCAGATAGATGCATATAGAGGTCACTAGGTAACCAATCCACTTCTTACAATGGTTTCCAGGCAGAACTCAATTGCACTGTAAGCAGGCTTAACTCTTCTGTCTCATCTTCCAGTCTGATTTTGATCTGTCCATTCTATTCCTAAAAATTCTCTTTTATGTGCATGTGTGTGTTTTAAAAGTTGTATAATTCTCTTTGTTTCCTTCATTGTCACCGCCTCATTGCATTTAGCTCAGAGATACCAACTTTTGAGGCTGGTGAACATTTTGGGAATTTAGAGAACATATTACCAGTGTCAGGAAAGGCAAGTCTCTTTGCCATGAAGGACATAACTGTTTAACAATTATTGCTTTATTAGCGTAGTATTTTGCTTAAGCAAGTGCCATACTTCAGAACAAAGAACTAGCCTGTAATTAGTAATCAATTTTATTTTCTGAGAAAGATTGTAGAGCTACCTTACAAGGGAGCGAAGAACTACTAAGTTTGCTTATAATGAACATCAGAAGTCACTTCACTATTTTTTTAAAAAAAATTCTTATTTTTTCCTTTTCTTTTTCACTTTCTATTCTTTATTTTTTCTTTATTTTTCTTTTCCTTTCTGAATTTTGTTTGTATTGTCTTTTATTATCGTTTTTTAAAAAAATTCAGGAGAAAAACTATATAGCTCATTAACAATCCAGTGACATTCCTGGAAATAGAGATGTTGATGAAAACTGTTTTTCATTGTAGCATGCCAATTTCATGATGATGATGATGATGATGATGATGATGATAGAATTATTAAAATATAAGCGATCAAGTTGTTCAGGGATGTGGTGGACAGTAACAGGACATTCTGGGGATTTTAAATCTTGGGGTTTGAATTCTTCTTTGACAAGTTTATTTTCCTTTCAACCCAGTTGCCTCTAATTATTTGTTTTTTTAATCTAATTGCTGTGTCTGTTAAAAGTGGGTAATAAAATTAAATAAATTTATATAGTCATCACTTGAAAATACATGTTTGTTGTCAGTTTATAGTTGAAGTAACACTTAACTCCAACTGAGGTAACGATGTACTGTAAGCACAGTTTTTTCTATGTTGCATGTCACCAACCTTTCACTATCTTGAATCTCCATGGTTCAGAATTCCTGAATTCAAAATTTATACCAAGTTCAATCTTTGAATGGCCCCCAACATTTGTTTTTCCCACTTCTAGAAATTAAGAAAAAGAAGGATGTTTCTATACTTCTAGAGTTCCTTGTTCTTTTATATTATTTTTCTAACATTTTTGAAGAAGGTGCAAATAATTTATGTCTAAGATATGATTATCAATACTGTATCTTAAATCTCAAAACCCTTTAATATGTTTAGGTTATAGCTATATCCTCATTTGTACTATTACTTCTTATTGCAAGGATTAAATTCTTCTCCTTTTGCAATAAAACTTCTATTTTAGTTTTCCCAGGACCTCGGTTTTGATATGAGTTAGCCTCATACATCAAAGGGCTTGATATTTCAACATATACATGTCACATTTTAAGTTACATAAGGAAGTCATTTTTTTTCTTGGGGTCAAATCATGGCAGGAGTTCCCAACTTTGTTTTGTATATACACATGCCCATCCTTGAATATTTCTTTCCTGTAATTTAAAGGCAGAGTTTAGGATAGTTCCACAAGCTGAAGGAGATGTATGCAATTGCAAATTGCCTGCTGCCAGTAAAAACTTATATAATAATAATTTAAGATGACAGGTTGCTTACTATTTCCATATCCAACCCTAACAATCTGAATTTAAAGTTCTTTTAAGCCATTTATACTACTTTGAGATGGAATGTGACAACTTGGTGCGGCCAGCTCAGCGCAGCTACCTCAGTGTGGCCAGCTCACCATTGCAAAGTCACCTCTATCAACTCACTGCCACCAAGTCATCACAGGACATCTCACCATGGCCAATTCGCTGTGGGACCAACTTGCCGCAGGCAGCTAGAAGGAGAGCTGGATAGATGATTGGGTGGGCAGAGTGCAGAGCAGCAATGGTGGCAGCCATGGGCCATTTAGATGCAGTGGTGATGTTTGAGCCATTTGGTGGCAGTGGTGGGATGGGTGGCAGAGAGGTAGCAGGGGCCAGGCGCATGTCATTTTCACATCCCCTATTGCTGCTGCACCAAGCTCCCAGGGAGTACGAAAAGCCTGGCTTCTGCTGAGTCCCTGCCACCTGTCCCTCGCACAACCACCACAACAAATGGCCCAAACATCGCTGCTGCTAAACAACCTGCAGAGACAGTAGGGTAGTGGTGGCGAACCGATGGCACAGGTGCCAGAGGCGGCACTCAGAGCCCTCTCTGTGGGCATGCGTGCCGTTGCCCCAGTCCTAGGCCTTCAGCTGGGTTTTATAAAACCTTTTGGCTTTAGGCCTCCATCACTGTGTGCAAAAAAAAAAAAAAGGTTCAATCAGTCAATTTCAACTTCTTGCGGAAAAAAAAAGATCTTGCAAAGTTGAAATTGATTGATTGAACTTTTTAGTCCCACCTAGTCTGCCGTTACCACCGCAGCCATGCCCACACAATGGGCCACACCCAGCCAATGGGCCACACCCAGCCAATGGGCCACACCCACCCGGCACTCAACGATGCATAAGTGGGCTTTGGGTTGCAGTTTGGGCACTCAGTCTCTAAAAGGTTTGCCATCACTGCAGTAAGGTGTGTGAAATGGTATGTCCCTGGCCATCCCTACCGCTGTGCGCTCTGCTCACCTGCATGTCAAATCCTTTTTAGCAAGACTTGATGAAAGGAACAACCTGCAAATAGAAGCCCTGGCATCAGAGAACTGTCCTTCCTCCAGCCTCTGAATAATGATATCTTTTTCCTCAGAAGGAAGTGTCTGAAATTTATGGATTCATATATTTATTTCTGAGAGTAACTATAAAGGAGCATCCAGTAAGACTGTTTATACACACCCACTGCTTGGCTCAGTTTGATAGCAGAACTACACGGAGAGTCCACACAGACTGTAGGTGTGCAGACAGAGTGGGATCATACGGAGTTGATCTCCACATGGAATGCTGGCTGGTGAGACTGCTGCTGTTTCAGGCAGGTGAGTGCCAATGAAATGTGAAATGATGGAGGTGCTGGCCTGAAAGAAATGCTAATCCTTTCCCCCTTCTGTTTTTCTCATTTAATGCTTACGATGTATTTATTACATGAGTCTTAAATTGCTCTATTCAAGTGAAGCAGGAAAGACATGGATAGTGAGTAAGCACACTTTTTTCATATTGTTTTCAGTCATGAAAACACTTCATGATGTCATAATAACTTGTTTGAGCATTTAAATAATAAGGGAATAAGTACATTTGTTTTATTTGTAAATGAAAACTTGCAAACTGAGATAAAGACTTGTTACTTGAAGATTGTACTTATTCCAGTTAGGTGGGTGTCTATTTTATTAGACAATTAAAACCACTTTGGTGGAACTGGTTAATAGGTATTTCAGCAGAAAGGCAAATAACAATTCTCATCACTGAATATATCTCCCACCTCTATATATTTGTGTCTCTTGAAACATCACTATACCTATTTTTCTATCCTCCTACAGTGATGTTATTGTAGAAAAGTTCCTTTCATATGTAGGTTGAGGTGAAGTGAACAAATGTCAGCAGAAAAAAAATGTTGTTTTAAAAAATGACAGCAGATAACATCAGATATTAGAGGCATTGATTCCAAGATGTAGATGTTGCACACAGGTTAATAAACCCGGTAAGATGGGGAGCTTTTGGTTCCGGACTTTAACATCTTTAGTTCTGAATAAGGTTGCACTCCCCCAGACAAACCTAATGCACAGTTTGGAGATTCTCCTGGACTCATGACTCCTGCTCAGTGAGCAGCTGGCAGTTTTGGCTAAGAGACCCATTGCAGAACTTTGTGTAGTATGTCAGTTGCATCCTTTCCTGGATTGGGAGTCTCTACACTCAGTCATTTAAGCCCTGGTCATCTCACACACGGACTGCTGCAATGCACTTTACATGGGGCTAACCCTTGAAGGGTATCTGCAAGCTTCAGCTGGTGCAGAATACAGCTGCATAGATAGTTCTTGAGGTCCCTAAGATGACCCATGTAACATCGCAGTTCCACAAGCTGCACTGCTTGCCACCTTGCTTCTGGGTACAAATCAAGGTATTGGTTATCACTTTTAAAGTCCTTCGTGTCATGAGTCCAAGCTATCTAAGGCAGGGGTCCCCAATTTCCAGTCCATGGACCACAACTGGTTCGCGGCATGCCAGAAACCGGTCTACGCAAACAAGCGAAGTCCCATTCATGGGATGCAGGCAGCACATGAAACCACGTCCCCTCCAGTCTGCAGAAAAACCTCTCTCCTCAGAACTGGTCCCTGGTGCCCAAAGCTCGCAGGGCACTGATCTAAGGAACTGGCTCACCACGATGGGACTTGCCCACCTCACCTGCGCTAGCAGAAGGGAGATATTGTGAACCCTGTCAATTAAGGGATTTCGGGAGGAAGGGTCCAGTAGAAGAAGCTTTTCTGCTACTGCTTCAACCCTATGGAACACCATGCCCCCTGAGATGAGATTCACACCCACCCTTTTGGCCTTTTAAAAGGCATTGAAGACCTGGCTGTGCCAACTGGCCTGGGGCCCTAATTGGGGCAGGCCAATACCTAATTTTGAAGGTAACTAATGGGTTACATAATACCCCATCATCTCCCCATATACACTTTGCTTGTTCCCTCTCAATACTAATCAATTTTATTTTAACTGAATTTTAAATTTAAGATCCCTACTTATTGTTTTAATGTTTTATATAGCATTTTTTTTGAATGATTGTAAGCTGCCCAGAGCTGCCCCTGGAAAGATAGCTGACATATGAGTTTAATAATAAAAAATAAAAGACCATTACCACAAGGTATTTAAAATTATAGCTGACATATGAGTTTAATAATAAAAAATAAAAGACCATTACCACAAGGTATTTAAAATTATTTGAAGATTTCTAAACTAATGGATTTTAAAATACATCAGTCCAAACTCCAGAGTTAAGAAAGCTGAAATTATAAGAACCCTTATAGACCAACTCAATTCCAGATATTTTTCTAAGAGACTATTTAATAATCTTTCCAGGTAAAAGAAAACACGAGGCCTTCTGTGCATTCTTAAACTGCTAAGGTTTCAGCAAAACTGCCTTGTTGAATAAATACTAACTCAATAGCCAACTGTGAAATCACAGTATATAAAATGTGAATGTAACCATTTTGAAATGATACTTGGTTTTGAATTTAACTGATGGGTGGTTGGAATCAATTAAAAAAGATAAAATTCAGCCTTAGTTTCTTTTTAATTCTTTGGAGACAAAAATATGTGATTTGCAATATGTAAATATTCACAGACTGAATTCAATACTAATAATTTATCACTTTGCCTATCTTAATGTGGATATAATTCTTTTAAAATTAATTCTTTTAAAAAAGAACTATATTGACTATTGAAAGTTTTTCTAGGCTTTGAGATTCTACATACAAACACACAAACACACATAGAGGGAGAGACAGAAACATATGTATTTTTCTATCAATGAGAGAAGTTTTTTTCTCTGACTTTTCAGCAATTCTGCAATATATATCCATATGCTTTAAAGTTTTAATGCTTTAAGTGGAAGTAGAGGTAGAAATAGATTGTTTCTGTATAAGCGTATGCCTGCCTGTTGTGACTCAGACATTGTAATTGCTACAAAGTTTTTTGTTTTCTTCTTAGAACAAAGTCATATATACCGTATTTGTCTTTAGTTTTATAATTAAGGCTGAATACTGTGTAATAAAAAGAGAATAGGATATTTTCAGGCATGTGTATTTGATAGTCAAGAAATCTGAAAAAAATCAAGTCAATTCTAAAACAATTCTTCAATTTGGAGTTTTGATTTTGTCTTGAAAATATGCCCAAGATAAATGGTAAAGAATTCTATTCAAATCAGGAGGCTGAAAGGTTGCTCTTTCTACTTTCTTGTGTTTCCCATTCATTTGCTGCACACCCAACATGATTTTAATTTTCATATTCCTTGACAACTGTGCAGACTACAAGCAATACACATAGTTTATAGTAAATGTTGTTAGGTAGACAGTATATTCATATTGCCCATAAGGACTCTCTTGAAAGTCCTGTTCATCTTTCACTATCTGATGCAGGAAGGGAGTTTGTTGAAAGCTATTGCATGGGTAAAAAAAGAAGTTGGTTCCTCCAAAATAGCAATGTTGCTGTGCAACTTTCTGCATGTAGGTTTGCTTGAAGCCTTGAGCAATATTGAGGACATAGATGGGCAATTTACTTTCTGAAAGACCTGAGGGGTAACACCAACCCAAAGCTTAATCTAAACTTCCTCTACTTTCTAACCGCTATCCAACACTCCAACCAAACACAGGTATAATGTATACATTTATGTAGGAGCACATTGTATAAAAAGAGATAAAGCATTTATTGTATGGATCTACTCAAATGCAGTAAAATTTTAATTTCTGCCTTTGCAGTATGGAATGGTGTTCTTGGAAAGAAACATTTTGTGAATAAAAGAGGACTTGTTGAATTATACGGAACCCTAAAATGTGGTACAAGCCGATTTTCTTTGGCATATGTAGGTTACGGATGCTATTGTGGCCCAGGAGGAAATGGATGGCCTAAGGATGAAACAGATTGGTACGTACAACACTCCTTTCTCTGTTTCTATTACATTCTTCAACTGAATTAATCCCATTCTAAAAAAATAAAGGGAACACAAACGTATAGGATCCTATACGTTTGTATTCCCTTTATTTTTGTGATCAGTATATTTTAAATGAGGCCAGATTTACTTTGAGACAAAAATATATGGAAAAATAAAAGTATAATATGATAAGAAAAAGGGAAGCAAATAACAAAATAATTGTGAGCACTCAGAAGAATAGCATGATATAATTAATCCAAACCTTCTCCTTTATTATGCTGGATGACATCATAATGTTGCTAAATTGCAAAGGCAATAGAAGTAAAGGTATGACCACGTGATCTCTTGCTGCAATGGAACTAGAGCAGTATTTATTTTCAATTATTACACTTAATGTTTTCACCCACGTATATACACGATATGTATTTATGAACATCAAACCACTGTTGCTGTGTTTTCCTAAGACACTTCAGAGAAGTGGTTACTTCTTAAAGTATCCAGACTGTGAAGAGCTTCATAGAAGTACTTGATTGGGCTTGAAAATGTCTCACACACCAGAGCACTGTAAAAGTAGAGATAGAGTTTCACATGCTGCACATTCTGCTTGATGTTCAGGGCTCACATCAATGGTATTAATCAATCTCTGCTGCTGAAAGGTGCTGCCGTAGACATGACTGCTGTTACGATTTTGCACAACGACAAGGCTGTCACCCGATAACAGACAGATATAAATGGACTTGTCAAGACAATACTGTGATATGTGGTAAGGTACAACTTGAATTTCATTATTTTTATTTACCTTATCTCAGGGATGCACAAGCAGATACGGATGTTCTAGAGGTGAAAAATTCAGCTTTAATTTTAGAATATCCTGTTGGTTTACTCAGAGAGAAAGGTTTTCTCTTGGAAGATTCATAACACTGTTCCTAGCAGACTTTGTTTTAAACAACTTTAATACTAACAAAATTTCTCATAGCTGCCTAAAGATTCAGCTTACAAAAATACAATGTAATAGTAACTGAATTAAAGTTTTCTCTGGGCTAAAAATGCTTGTGAAAGAGCGTTGATTTTGATGTTGTATATTTTAATTAATTAATTAAAATGAGGTTTGACCAACAGCAGTATTTTCTACTAACCTATGTCTAGCTAGAGTATCATTTTGTTTTTTCCATTTTGCTAAGCCTGGTGCTAGGACATGCCAGTTCTTTTGTCCAGGCCACTACTGGACAAGAAAGTTCACATATATGACTTTAACTTAAAGCAATTTCAGTCTTTTTGTGGAGACTAGTGGTGAGGAAAATGGCTATATTATATATTGAATACAGATATATACTGTCTTGTGCTAACTTTTAGTTAAGCTGTTTGTAGCATGTTGTCAGTTTGCCAAGGTCTATGCTTAGTGTGAAGATGGAATGGTAAAGTTCTGGACAGAAATCTAAATATGTAAATAAAGTAAAATATATAAACAGTGTTGAATTGCTACAGGTTTTTTATATGCTGCAATTCATAAAACACATGGGCAAAATCCAATGATATCAGGGATGCAGGCCATTCATTGTAGCTACATCTTGACTGTGATGACTAAAAATAGTGATACAGTTTTGTTTCTTTGAGGCTCATGACATATTGAAACTATAGTGTTCAGTTCAAAATCGACTGAACAGAACTTTTAAAAAACAAACCAGTCCTGAAAACTCTGCAAAACCCCAGCCCTCTCCAATGCCCTGCCTATTGTGAGCTTTGCACTTGGACACTTCTCAACATAAAAGGTAGTTCTTGATCATCAACCCCATAACAGCAATAGCAATAGCACTTAGACATATCTACTGCTCCACAGTGCTTTAAAGCACTCTTTGAGCAGTTTACAATGTCAGCAAATTGCCTCCAACAATCTGGGTTTTCATTTTACTGACCTCAGAAGGATGGAAAGCTGTATCATCACTCCTAACAGAGTACCATGACTGTGGATTTCTTAAAAATTACAATTTTATCTCAAGAGTACAAAAGAGCAGCAAGAGTTAAAATCCTTTGTCCACTTAGTGAAAAAGGTGTTTTCTTTTTCAAACTTCATATTACTCAGAAGTTTAGATTTCTGGAGAGTCACCTGTTTTTGAGACCCCGCCCTCCTGAACGACCCTTTTGATTCTTAAATTCCAAGCTGAGTTTTCATAGAAAGGCCTAGACAAATGTTTTGTTTGTTTTTTTTAAAAGTGGATGTATGAGATAGGGCTTTACAAATAAAAATGAACATGGAGTGTACAGTGCATTGTTTTAACATATACATTGAAATAGATATTATATAATTGTTAGATAGAGTGGGCTAATGCATATGAATTTTATTATCACAGTTGTGTGATGTTCAAATAATTTCAAACAGAAAAATCCTTTATCTTTTATGATTATATATCTTAATAAATGCCAGTTTCATAGATAAGCATCGTAACCAGCAGTAGTATCCTTTTCATTCCTTTTTTTCAGATGCTGTTCTAGACAGATGTCAAAACATAATTTGCCAGTGCGACAAAGAAGCAGCTCGGTGTTTGAGATTTGCATCATTCAATAAGCGCTATATCCTCTACCCAAATATTCTTTGTGGCCAAATATATCCTTTATGTGGCTACAGGCATTAATAGATTTTTACAATAAACAATTTAAAACTGTTGAGGTTTTTTTTAATATTGCAGTGTTTATTTGCACATTTTTCTGATCGTTTATACTTTTCCAGCTTCTGAAATTATGAATCATACTTAGACTACTGCAAATATCTAACAACCGGTTGATGTCAGCAGAGGAATCTAGCATTCCTGCCCTCTGGTGATCATCAGCCAGATACAGAGGGGCTCCAGTGTGGCAGAATCATTTATTTAGAAATATATGCTGAAAGTTTTGAAAATGTGCATATGAACATTTGTGTTACTTAAGTGCATCTACCAGTTTAAGAAGCTAACATGATAAAATATATGTTCACCATATGATTCCATTCTGTATAGAAAAACAATACAATTTTACACAAATATCAAATCTTCTTTTTAAAAAAGGTCAGTAAGAGAACATCCAACTTCCAAGATACAGGCAGAAATCTAACCCCCTGGGAATTCTAGGTAAAGCAAGTACTTAAATAGATTAATTCTAGGATACATTTTTATTTTCTATGTATTTAACTAAATTTTTTACTATGAAATTAGGAAAAAAAGGAAGAGATGTCAGCAAATTGCGTCCTTGAGCTATTTATAAAAATAAATAAGACAAGATATAAATAAATACATAAATCTTTTTTTCAGGCATATTTGCTTTCTCACACTGGCTTTATCCAATTTTAATTTGTTCCCACAATGACCTAATTTCTTTCTTTAAACCTAACACTGTGTGACTTTTTTCTATTGTATGATCTTAATAAACTGTCATTGCTATTTTAAACTGATGTTTTTGGCAGCATTTCTATGTCCGCATCATCATATATATTACCATAATGACTTTAATGTGGTTTCTATGGTGCCACTGCTTGACTATCCTGCCCAAGCCTCTTCCCCTATATGCAGAAATGAGGTTGCTTTTGCAAATGATGAAAGCAAACATTGCTAATTCATGCAGAGTTCTTCCCATCTTTTTTGTTTACCTCAGTAAAATATTCCAGTCCTCAGCTATCAATATATGATACAAAGTATGTATTTATGATTGGTTCAATCTGTTGCAAGTTTCTAAATGCATGCTTTAAGTAGTAAAATATTTGCACATGAAATACTCTTCAGAAAGTTTTATTCACCTTTCCCCACCTTTATTCCATTTGCCCCATACAATGTGTAAATAGTAACCTGCATAGTACAGAACTGAACAATGATCTATTAAAAAAAAGCCCTGATTGCCAGCGTAGTCAGAAATGCAATGGCAGGAGGGGATACCCTGAAGAGAAGTCGTAGGGATGCAGTCCTTATTCCTTCCTCCATCTTCTGTCTTTTTCCTCTCAAACCACTTACTTGGTTTCCCAGTCTTCAGTTTTTCAAAGTCAGTAATATAATTAACTTATATTGAGTTGAAAGGCCATTATGTTTTCATCCATACTGACAAGTAGGTCATTGATTAAAATTAATCTAAAAGTATAAACTTGTTTTCATACACTCATTCTATGAATAAACTTCATATTTTTTTAAAAAAACATATGATCTAAAATAATGCTAAAACCTTTTATTCTATTTTAAAAAATAAAATATATGAACATATAGTTTTTCTCCCATTGATTAACTATGTAATACTTGATATAATTGATATTATTCTTTAGTCCAGTGCTCCAAATTATGCTGAGGGGGAAAGAAAAAGAAGAAAGTAAATGATCAGTAAAGATAAAATATTGACAAATAATATAAATGAATTGAAAATTCTTCCAGATGTAGGAATCAGTGCCAATCAAAATGCATTTTGCAATAAGTTTGTCTTTCTTCTCTTAGTGGTTATTAAGAGAAAAAATTGGAGAAGCAAGAAAATCAGGTATGGAGTTAGTCAAAGACAAATTCAATGTCTACAAATAAAGAAGTCAAAGCCCATCTAGAAATACCCAAAGCATTTACAAGAGAATTTTCACAGGCATGTGTCTGTCTGTCTTTCTATTTCTTTATCCATTAATATACCGCTATGATCTAAGACTTACAGGTAAGTATGTAATAGTCTTGATCAGATCAAGGGTCTTTTCAGCATTTTGTTTCTTGCAGTGGCCAATCAAACGCCTCTGGGATGCTAACAAGGACATGAAGATACACCTATCTCCAATTGTCCTCTTGCACCTGATATTTCAAAGTTTGCTGCCTTGGTTGTCAGTAGCACTGACTCTTCAAGATGAATAGCTCTTAAAAGATTTGGTGTGGTGGCAGCCACTTGAACAGCGTGTGCACAGCGGTGTAGAAAGCAAAGGAAAGACTACTGCACTATATATTTCCCAGGAAAATCATGTTAATGGCGGCAAAACCTAACAATGGCCCCGAGTACGGGCGCCCCTTAAATGGGGCAGAGGTGCTAAGAATCTCCCGGTTCGCTAAAAGCATGATAAACCCAAAACTACGAATTGGTACATGGAATCTGAGAAGCCTATACGAAGCTGGGAAAACACACAACACTATCCATAGATATGTATGTATGTATGTATGTATGTATGTGTATATATATATATATATATATATATATATATATATATATATATATGTAGGTCTTTGGTTGTTCGGGTTTTCTCCCGCGTAAAATTGGAAGTGTCTTGGCGACGTTTCGACGAAGTCCCATTCGTCGTCTTCAGGCTGGTGTTTTCAGCTTCGTGCTTCGAGCAGCTGCATACATATATATATATATATATCCCTCCCTCCCACCTATCAGCTGTTCAGCAGGGAATGCTAGCACAGTCTAGGAACCACGCGCAGACGTCTATGGAACCCGTTTGAATCACCTTGTTAGAAACGGTCTCTCAGCCCTGAAGATGTTGGGGAGTTTTCCCAACGAAAGCTTGGCAACCTTTTAATATAGTATTATTCGGGTTTTCTCCCGCGTAAAATTGGAAGTGTCTTGGCGACGTTTCGACGAAGTCCCATTCGTCATCTTCAGGCTGGTGTTTTACGCGGGAGAAAACCCGAATAACCAAAGACCTACATACAAACACTCGCGAAAACCTCAGAATATATATATTCTGTATGTATATATACATACAGATATAAAATGCTTTGAATTAGAGTTAAGGGATTAGATGACTAGATCTATTGAATATAATGTCTAAAAATTAAATATATTCTTAACTATGATTAAAAAGAATAAGAAATTCGAGAAAATAAATACTATTAATCTAGGAGGGATATATACTGTATTCTAAGCATTATGTTATTTCCTATGTTCCGTTATTACTGCTTTCCTCTTATTTTTTATTTTTATTTTTTTCATTCTTCTTTTCCCTTTTCTTTTTACTCTTATATCTAATACTTAAGAAATGTAAAAATGTGAGATGGCTTATATGGAAAAAAATAGAATTAAGTCTGTCAATGTAAATGTAACTAATCGCTGAGAAAATCTCTACCAGTAAAACTATTTAGAATGTGGTGGGAGAAATAAACTAAAATAAGGATTGTAACAGGATTGATGATAAGGCAATTCAAATGACTGGAAAGAAAAGAAATGTATTAATATGATGATTATTTTTTAGGAATATTGGAAAAAATATATACTAAATTGTCATTTATTAAAACAATAAGAATTGTATTAACTCAATGTTTGCAAAAAAAAGGATGTTTCGGGGAAAGAGGAAATTAACCAAAATTAATATATGGAATACAGACTATAGAAATCATTTGTTAAGGACTGTTTTTACAAATGTAACCCAGACAACGCACTGTTTACCAACTATTGAATGACTTATGCTTGTGTAAAAAATTAATAAAAAATATAATACAAAATCTAGGGGACTGGTTTGGACAAAACTCAGCAGCACGTTTTTGTGCGGCTGCTGATAAAAACAGGATTGCCAATGTCCGATAACGGATATGGCACAACAAGAAGAAGAAGTTATTCTCCAGCAGTTATAAATGGAACATATGAAACCACCTCAAAATGCATGTCATTCATGAACTAAATCTGTATCACTGGTTGCATTTTGAGTATTTGTACTGGTCTTCTATTCTGCTTCAGAACTGTTGTAATATTTTATTGGAACTTTTAAAAAATGGAATGAAAACAGTTGCAGTAACAAAATAAACCACTGAAAAATTATGTTTAATATGCAGCATACTTTCAGAGTTTTTTGGTGGAGGACTAAATATAGAATAACATGAAAAGATCTTTGAAGCCTTCAAGCAATCTTTAAACTCCTCTACAGACCCCATCAGGATTTTGCAGAAGTGCAGCTCCTTTGACAGAAGGATGTTAACATGCCTGGAGAAGCTCCTAGCCAGAAAATGTTAGCACATTTCTATGAATCCAGCCATTGCTGATTGTAAACCATCCAATATGCTTTAATCAGCTGTTATTTAGTCAATAAACCACAGTTAAACAATGGGTAATCCTGCTCTAGGAACTCCATTTGTTTTACAGTCCCATCCTTTCCAGATATTTAAGATTATTTAAGATGCAGCTTTTCAAGTTATTTTTTTTTATTTGTGGCTTGGATGCTGTACTTGTTACAGAATATCCAGGCTTCCTCCTCATAATATTAAGGTATTCTTTCTATCAGAGTGCTTTTATTTTAAATGCAGTATATTTGCTAGGTTGTCAACAATTTAAAAATACATACAAACTGGTGTGAAATGTATCCCCCCCCCAAACCATTCATATAAATGAAATACAAATACACACAGAAACAGAAGCAATTGCAACTAAAATCAAATTTAGAATAGAATAAAATAAATAGATTATAATATACTTTTATGTATAGATTAAGGGTAGTCACCTTGGAGCTGGAAAACCTTTAACATGTTGGGATCCTCTGAAATGTTATGGCTACTCTCTTAAAATGTCTGCCACGGAGATGATTTTCTGTTTATTAGAAGCTATCATATTGGGGTGCTCAGTTACAAAATACCCAAGTTGTTTTCTACCTCTCCATTTTATTTTTAGCTTTTAATTTTTTAATTCTTTGGGAGATGAGCACATTTCCAAACAAAAGATTCTTTAAAAAAATCTGTGAACCTTCCAATTTATTGTAAGTTATTTATCTGTTAGAGTTACATCCCACTTTCATTTCAGGAATCCAAATTGCCACGCATCACATTTCTTCCTCTTATTTCTTTTTCCCAGAATAACAGCCAGGTGGAATTGGTGGGGGGAGAGGGGGAAGAGAGAGAGAGAGAGAGATTGGCCCAAATCATCCTGAGAACTTCAATGGCAGAGAATGTGTTGGAATCTGGATTTCCTGAGTTCAGTTCTCATATAAGTGCATATAGTTCAAATTAATTAAGCCCTGTCCCCCTCTAAGGCAACTTTTGACCATGGTATTTTCCTATACATATTTAAAATCACATTATTTCAACTTGGGAAATGTCCAAATGGGTGTAGAAGGAGCAGAAGGCAATCCAAGCTAGAGAAGAGATAGTGATAGTACAACACAGCCATATCTACTGCTGGATCCTGATTATTGGGTCTTTTTCTTGCTGGCTGATAATTGGAAACAAAGCCAGAGGAAGGAAACAAATCACTTTGGTTATAATTAGCATCATACTTACAAAACAGGATAAACATTTCAGAATAGAGATGGTATAGGGACTGGCAAGGGGAATGGAAATTGATATGCTGGCTTTTTTTATATTAACACATGGATGGGGAGATAGGACATCAGCTCAGCAGGAAGGAAATTCCATAAATAATACTGCCCTGGATAAATGAATAGATTAACCAGGTAAAGGCATGCTCCTATATTTTAGTATTCATTAACACTTCCCATGCAAGATATCATATACTGGAGAATAATGTTACACTTAGACTGTTATAACTGGGCAAAACATCTTCAGGAAACAACAAAAATATGTTTACATAACTTTTTAGATCACAACACTGAACAAGCCAAAAAAAGTGCTCGGACTACACAGATGCCCTGCATTTATTAGAATCACAAACAACATTTTATTAAATGATTATGCATTTCATACTCTACCTTCATGGGCTGTTGCTTTAGCACATGGAAGACACTTTCGCAGTCGAGGAGTTAAGACTACAATCAGAACTATCAGGGCTCCAATACCAGCAGCCACCACACCAATGATTGTTCCAATCGATTCTTCTATACCAAGCCATCCTAAGGGGAAATTCACGGCTTAGTCAAAAAAATAGTGCATTCAACATAAAACTCCACAAGAGAATCCAGATGGCAAAATGTTGCTACTGTAAATGTTTCTGTGGGATCATCTTACTTGAATCTATCACTACAGGAACTTGGTTAAAAATTGAAGTATTATTCTGTTCAAGCTTTGATGTTTTTTCATGTATATAAGAAGTTAATGCCAGGACTGATCTACCCAATTATGGTAGTCCAGAGTGAACCCACAATTAATGTTTCATTAGTATTCATTACCACCATATTTTCCTCCCTGCCAACCAAAAGAAAAAAAAATAGAAGCAATACTAAAGCAAAGAAAATGGCTGCACTTATCTGCTAATTAAAACAAAAACAGGTCTTTCTCTCAGCTTCCTTACAAAGTTATTGTAGGGGAAAAATAGAAGAAGGTATGCTTCCTTTGCACATAGGGTATGTATTCAATCAATAAATAAAACTAATTTTAATCCAGCAACTGGTTGTCAACTTAAAAACACCTAAGCCATTTGAGGCTTAGAGATACGAGCATATCATTGTAACCCCCAAGACATAAATTGTTACCAAAATGTCTTCTTAAAATACTACTTAATTGTTTAACGGTTGATTAGGAAACACACAACAGCAAACAAAAATGTAGATGGGGATGGCATTTAGAGAAAATAACTTAGGTTCCAAAATTAAAACAGAGAAATAATGAATGTTCATCTAAAATAATCTCGGAGAAGAGAGGTACCAAAGAAAACAGGTAAACCTTGAGTACTTCAGGAATAAAATAACACACACGTTAATTGGCTACTTCATGAATACAGAAATCTGGGTAGAGGACTTCTGGTTTTGCGCGGTAGCACCCGGTTGCGGGCATGCGGATTCTCTGCACCCCCACAGCTAATTTCACCCTGCCTGGGGACCCTAAATGGGTCTAAGTCGCCCGGAGAGGTGACGAAGAAAAAAGGGTGCTCCAGCGATTCTGGAATGGCAGCAGCTGTTCCATTCGACTTGGGGAAAGCTTTCTAACCCAACAGGAGAAAGGCTATCCATATTGCATCGACCAGCCCAAGCTACTAGCAACCAAAGTCCAAAAGCACTAACCAGCACAACTGTGAACAGCATGCTTGAAAGTGGGTGAGGAATTTGATCTTCTCTTTTCTATTCTACATTTAATTTCCTGGAAAAGATCCCCAAGAAGCAAAATACCTCCGAAAGGGAAGGAGGGGGATTTTCGCCCCACCCTTATACTAACGGAAGCAACAAATTAATCTTTTTATGGAGGATCAAAATATATGGAAGTAAAATAAATATAAAACCTGAAATTTAAAATTTAAATCTGGATAAATCTAAAATTGTTTGAATGGTTAAGACTCTCATTTTAAAGATAATTGTTCATTTTGGAAATTGAAAAATAAATAGTTGCTGACACCTAGTGGTGGATGAAGACTATGACAGATGTGACTTTAATATAAGACTTGGCAAAACCTAGGAAAAGCTAATCTGTGTTTGTGACCTTCAAAGTTTTAACAACAAAGAACAGCTGTGACAAAAAAAGACAATAAACTGGGTTGTAGACAGAGAGAATTATAAATTTCAGAAAAAAAATCTTTTTTGAACTATTTGGATTACAAATATCTATTTAATTGGGACTCTAAAGCTATTTGCAGAGAAAAGAAAGGAAGAGAAAAACTCAAATTTTTGGCCATCATGGATCAGAGACATGTAGAAAGAACATATCAAGAAAACATAAATACTTCACAGTGGGAGATATATAGTATACTGCAACTAATTCAAACAACAATGACTTTAAATCACAAAGAAATCCAAAATAACTTTGAAAATATAAATCAATCTATTTTTAAGTTAATTCTACAACAACAAAAATTCCCAGAAAACAACAACAGAGAAGGAGCAGATAAGACAGATAAATGGATATAGAATTGAGAATAGAAACTTAAAGATGGAACTTAAAAAAACAAGGAAACATGATTTAATCCTAGTGGAAAAAAATTCACAAGAATTGGAAAAAACAACTTATCCCTTAAGACTACAAAATAAATCTGAGGATAAGAAAACAGATTGGGTAAAATGGACTGTAGAGATATCAGGAACATCGGAGAGAAAGGAAATGATAAGAGAAGCGGAGAGAAAGAAAAAGATTTTCAACAAACATGGAAAGGCAGAAGCCCCATACAAAGACACTTACCTGGTTTACTTTTTATATCTACAGCAACATTTACGAACATATGGAAAAACCTTTTGATTCAGCAAAATACATTGATTAAGAAAGATATTGGGCAAAGGAAAAAGACTAAAGTGGAAACCAAGAAAATACAGTAGATGGACTTACCAGAGAGAATACTTAAAAAAGAAACATTTGTTTGAATATGGTTAAAGAAACAGAAAAGTTTTGGAATATATATGTCATTCTAAGAGGGATGAATTCCCTAAATAATATAGTATGCTTTCCCCCTTTTTTTGTTCTCTTGATATGAGTAATATCAAAAAGTTGAAATGAAAGGAAATGTTTTAGATACTTAAATGTGATTGAATTTAAGAAAATTATAATGGATAAAAATGTTTTGAATAAGAGTTAAAGGACTAGATGACTAGATTTACTAAATGGAATGTTTAAAAATTAAACATATTTTTAATTATGGTTAAAAAGAATAAGAAATTTAGGAAATAAATATATATTAGCTTAGGAGGGATATATATTTTAAGCAGTATGTTATGTTTTATGTTTTCCTTACTCTTGCTCTCCTTTCTTTCTTTTTTTTCATTGTTTTATCTATTCCTTAAGCAATGTAAAAGTGTGAGATGATTCATAAGGAAAAATAGAGTTAAATTTTTAAATGTAATCAATTTTTGAGAAAATCTTAACCAGTAAGAATACCTAGAATTTGGTGGGAGAAACAAACTAAAATAAGGACTGTAACAGGATCTATGATAAGGCAACCAGAATGATTGGATTGAAAAGAAATATTATATTGATGTGATTATTATTTTTAGGAATATTGGGAAAAATTATATATTTAATTGTTATCTATCAAAACAAGAATTGTATTAACTCAGTGTTGGCAAAAAAGAATATTTTCGGAAAAGAGGAAATCAACTAAAACCATTATGTGGATTATGGATTATAGAAATCAATTGTTAATGATTGTTTTACAAATGTAACCCAGACAACACACTGTTCACCAATTATTAAGTGATTTATGTTTTTTAAAAAAATCAATAAAATATATTACAAAAAAAAAGAAAAGAAATCTGGGTAAATTGGTTTTTCTTTCCTAAATACATTTCCTTCTTAGAATCTTTTCTTCTAAGCATACTGCTCCATGAAACCTCCAAGAACAAAAGCCTCTAGTAAACTCTTTCCTGGCTAACCTCAAAAGTGTGACTCTGCATTATTTGAGAATTTAGACATTTGATCCTTAAAACATCCTTATTACTGTAAGAAAATCCAGTTAGAAATTTCAATTAGTGTAGAATATGGCTGCCCACGCAGTCATTAGGACTTCCCGATATAGCCATGTAATGCAATATTGCATATACATCTTCGGCTGATTATTAGATTCTGCGTGCAAGGGTGCTTATGATGAAAGGCCTAGCCATCTCCACCCTTTTTTTTCCAAATAAAATCTTGATTTTCAAAAAGTTGTTAAAAGCCTAGATTTTTCAAATAGCCTTCAGGAAAGCGGGGCAAAGAACAACACGTACTGTATGTAAGGTATATGATAGTGCTATCAGTATAGATGTAATTTATTGAATTTTATTACAGATACATTTATATTACAGGTGTTATGTTAAAACATTTGAGTTGTTGATAATTTTTGATATTGTTGCATTTGTTAAGTTGATGGGTTTTTTTTGCTGAAAGCTACTTAGAGTCAAAAGACTTGATATAGTATTAAGACTTAGTCTAGTATTAAAGTGAAGGAGGGAAGATAGACACTAGATTGCAATCACTTCTGCAAAAAATTTGATCAAATGGGGACTTTTAGAAGCTAGTAGCTTGGATAGTGGCTCTTATTACAATGTGTAACATTTATTTATATTTTTGAACACTTAAACATGTACCCAGTCCACACTATAATGCTTCTGTATGGTTTTGACATAGAAAGAGTGTGAAAGGAAGGACATTTGGGAGATAAAGCACTGATGTGTCTTCTCTTCTTCCCTTTACAGTCCTTATTCTCATTTTTAAAGCAAACAGTATGATGGCAATACTGTAGAAGGAAGATGAAAAGGGAGAAAAGAAGCAAGAAGACAGAAGAAGAAAGAAATTCAGAAACAGAATAAAGTAGCTAGTCAGGCAACAGCTAAATAGCAGTGAACAAAAGCAGAAAACTTTGTCTTTGACAGTGACAAAGACCAGAAAAGGATAGCAAATAGACTCTGTGACCAAGGTAATCCAGCCAGCCAAAGACACAGGAACTGAAAGTTCATCAAATGGTCCACAGGTATTGGCGTAATTGAATCACATAGGTGCTAGCATATGCAAGGGAGCCCAAGTTGTGGTGAGAATTTCCCACTCCAAAAACAGGCAATGAAGGACCAGTGGAAAGTAGACTATAGCAGCAGCCAGTAACAGGCCCTTTGGCAGTCACAAATGAGCTGCAGTCTTCCAGGAGCAACTAGGAATGATGTCAACTCCCTATCCAGCAATAAGCAGAACAGAAACCATGCAAATTACTGTGGGTTTAGGAGTGGCATGCATAAATCTAAAGTTCTATTGGGTTTAAAGAAAAAGGGCCAAGCAAAACAAAACAGTGAAATAGAAATAAATAAAAAACTTAGAAGAAAGCGTAGACCAAAGGAAATAATTAAAGATAAGATAGGTAAGAATTATTCAACGAAGTAAAAATATTATTGATATAATAAAAAGAAACAACATTCTTTTGGTAATAAATAAATCTTTATTATGTGATACTTGTAAGAAAAATCATATTTAGAATTGCATGTTTCCCTGCCTTTGATGGGTGCCATCTCACAAGCTGAACCTATAACAGAGAGATTTGCAATTTTAATCTACTCTGCCTATAGATATGATAGCAGACATTACAGTGTAACACATGCTTCATCTGACCAGCTACTAACCTTGTCTGATTTTTTCAATAGTGGCAAGCAATCTCACTAGCTTGATCAAAAGCATCAGTCTTTTTGGAAAGTACCTGCTATCTCATAAACACCACAATCTTACACCACAAGGTTATTTCCAAGTCTTTACCCCATCAGAAGCCCTTTTCTCATTGGTTCGGCATACAACTGACAAACTAATCTTGGATTAATCATTTGAATTTGTATTTAACATGTTCTACATTGTCAACCTTTTGATCCCAAACCAGGAAATTGGGACACTTTTATTGATTTGTAATCCAGTGATTTTTGTGGACTACAGCTATGGTGATCAGGTCTGGTTGCAAAACTCCAGTGCATCAGAACATGGCAGCAAAGCAGTTAGTTTTGGCAATTCTTTGCTTGTCATTTAATTGTCACAACACTTTTACAGTTCAAATCTATTAGCCCTACTGATAGAATATAAGTATAATTGCACAAGTCATCTTTCTCTTGGAGTCCTCCAAGGTGTTAGATATATGGATACTTTTATGGAAAAATTATTTTCAAAATTATTCACAACTGAAAGATAATGACCACTAATTTGCAAATGGACAGGTTTTAAAATATTATATCTGTCTGTTTTTCAGTTATACCAGTTTCCAAGCTGTTTCTGGTATGAACTGTTCTGTTTACTTGGAACTTTTAATTGACTTATGTAGCTGAGGACATTAAGTTTAAAATATCTGCATTTATTCTAAAGTGTGATGTCTATTGTTTGTACAACATTTCATGCTTTTCCATTTGTTATACAGTTTTATAGACTGCCTTCTTCCTGAAACTGAAGGCAGTTTACAAACAACCAAAACTCTATTTCATGAAACTAAGGAAGATTTTTTTAACTTAAGTAACGAATTGCAATGTAGCTCATACCCCATTAGATCCAAGATGTGGAATAGCCACATCTTAAGTGAGTCCAGGGGATTCCATACCTCAAACGAAGGCAACCACCAAGAAGACCTGACATCCAAGCCCCCATCCCATTATCTCATGTGATTTGAGGATCCTCACTGAACCTTTCTCTCAAGAACTCCAAATCATTTCAGGAGGAATGGTCCTACAAATACCTGGAAACCAAGTCATTTAGGGCATTAAAGATAAAAACTGGTACTCTTAATTTTACCTAGAGCAAACCAGTAGCCAGCACTAAAACCAAAACATTAGTTATGTGATTATATCTGCTACCACTAGACAGGATGCTGCACTTTGAATCAACTAAACCTTTGGTCACATCTTCAGAGGCAACACAAAGAAGAACATACATGGTTTTCAGTTTTGCATTAGCATTGCTCTCTTGTTTATTTATTGTAAAGTCTTAAAACACTTTGTTATGGAAAAATAAATATTACCCAAAGGTGCTGATATTTTCTATTCTGTTCATCTAATAGTCTACCAGATCTTTGCAGTCTAGATCTGTAGTCGGAGCGTAATGGCTAGATTTACACATTATGATTTATTTTATATGGTTTAAGTTATGTGCACTTTCTCATTGTAATTTGCAAAGCATATTTTATGACTTAATGAGCTTTGTGAACCTAGCTTATTTCAAATAAATGATTAAACATGTATGCACAGACTATGATCTTTAAAGCCAAGTGGCTTACTTTTTCAATGCCCCTCAGGTGCTTTAGGAAAAGGCTTTTGTTAGGCCACCCTTGTGTCAGAAGAAGATCACCATAATTTATTTAACAGACAGTCTACCTGCAAGCATTCTAAAAAATCTCTGAAATCATTTTATTTTTTAAAGCAGAACAAAATTTTACCTAGTGCTCTCTGGATTCTAAGTTTTGTGCCATCGCCGGTCACCACATCACCACTGGAAAGAATCACTTGGCAGTAATAAGTGCCATGATCACTGGCTGTCACTTTTAAGATAGTCAGTGAAGCATCACCTTCTGATAAATTCCCAGCCATGAAAATTCTAGTGTTGTTTTCCAGGGCAGTGACATTATTTTCCATGACATCCTTCTGTCCTTTTCCATCCCGCTTATACCACTTCACTGTGAGGTTATTCAAAGACGATCCTTGGGGACTGTGATACTGGCATCCAAAGACCACTGTTTCACCCTCCTTGGCTTTCTCTTTTTCTGGAGTCTGAGACAGAAATGGTTGCCATGGTTCAGCAGTCATTGTGTTCATCCAAAACTCTATTGGATGGAAAGAGGAATTGCTTGAAGTGGCTGTATTCTCCTGTGTGGCATTAGAAACACCAGCATAAAGCACTGCAAAGGTAGAAAGACAGATCAACATTTTGGACTCTTTCAGAATATAACAATACTCTGGGATAGTCTTCCTCAAACTGACACTCCCCTATCTAGCACTTCCCATAATTTCCAATCAGCAAAGCAGTGTGTTTCAGAGGCAGGCTTTTGTAAAGGGGGAGGAGATTTATTATATAGTTTAGGGCAGTGTTTCCCAAACTTGACAATTTTAAGGCATGTGGACTTCAACTCCCAGAATTCCACAGCCAGCAATGCTGGCTGTGGAATTCTGGGAGTTGAAGTCCACATGCCTTAAAATTGTCAAGTTTGGGAAACACTGGTTTAGGGGTTCAATGGAAAATCTCCTTCAGAGTAGATTAGAAAAATCAAGAAATGAAAGGATGAGAAAGTGATGATTTACACATATGTATTTAGGAAAGAAATATATTTGAAACGTAAGTCTAATCTACATCTTCAGGATTTCACAGGAAAGTTCCTCAGAGCATTTGCAGATAACCAACCGTATTGTTATCCCATATTTTGGCTACACAATTTAAATGAAGCAAAATCTGAGGAAGGCATTTGGAATAAAAGCATTATTTCAGAGTGCATTTGAAGTAGCATCCATCCAATCCTAACCAGCAGAAAATTATCCTGACATAAAATTTGTTGCCGATTTTCTGATTCCCCTCCTTCCTGGACATATTATTCTCAGATGATAGTTACTGTGTTCTGGGCATATTTTATCAAGCACTGTAGAAGCTAAAGTGTGTGATTAATTTCAGTTTAATGTTGCCACTGCTCCCCATTTGGAAAAGGCTACTACTTACACTACAACAACTTTTTAAACTGGTTCTTTCCAAAGAACTCAATCAAAAGCCATGAGGGATCATCTGTGCAACTCTGTGTAGCCCTGCTAGTAAAATTTGTTCTGAACTACCAATACATTTGTCAGTCTCTTGAAAATTCATAATTTGTATGTGGAGGTAGGTAGGAGTAACATGGCAGGAAGAAGAAATTGCATGGTCTGAACAAGAAAATGGTTAAAATAGTTTCTTCCAAATGCCTCTTATAGACAGTTTTAACAGAATGAAATAAGAAATAACACATTTAGCTAATGAATCTTATGACAAGCATTTTAAATAGAATAACAAGAAATTCAAAGTAAATCAAAGCTATAGCATTATTCTATTAAACTGTGGTGTGACTCAGTACAAATGTATTTAAATTATGATAGTTTTTCACATCCCGTAATGTTTGTAGTTGTCTGTTTATATATACAAGTGTTTGCGGGTGCACATGTTTATATCCCTACTAGACAACCTGTGCCCTGCTGAGTCATCAGAGATATTTCCTTACCTAAACAGAGAAACAGAAGGATCGTGGACAGGCAATAAAGCAGTGGAGCAGGAGTGACTTCAAACTTTCTGCCCGTTTCTTGACTGAGATTGCTTGGGAGAAGCTGGGAGGGACCATCAGAAATTTCCTCCCTCCCTTATATATACTGATTGTCTCTATAGATATAATATTTTTAAATATAGAAGTGATGCCTGATCATAATTGTATATTGATTATGCCCTTTTAATAGTTAAATCAATGCCAGGTTTGATTATGTTGCAATATCAGGACTTGTTTGAAGAGTGTGCATTTGTCTGTGTTTAGCATTAGAGGAAGCTTGTGATTCACATCTGTGATATCGTATTCCAGCTCATTCTCTTGGGGCTTCATCATAAAGGTCACAATGCAGGATTGGCTTTTAATATTGCCAAAGGTCAGTAGACCAGAGGTATTTATTTCTATTGTCCATCTCCTATAAATATAAAAGCAAGCTAGTGGATCCTATTTTCATCTGTGATACATGCAATATGACTAAACACACAAACACACACACGAGAGAGAGAGAGAGAGAGAGAGAGACAGAGAGAGAGAGAGAGAGACAGACAGACAGACAGACAGACAGACAGACAGACACACAGACACACAGACAGACACAGAGAGAATGGGCTACAGAAAAAATCTTTCCTGCTACCATTGATCCTACTTTTAAGTTTTGAGTTGTGGTTGTAAGAGAAAGAGTCCTCTGTTAGATTTCAGAGGCAGTTATTTACAGGTTTTTGTCCCTTGTTTGTTATTTTTTATTCTTAGCACACAGCTCTTCCTTGCATCTATAGCTCTACATCAGGGGTGTCAAATTCGCAACATCATGTGATGTGTCGTGACATATCGGAACTTTTTTTCCATTGCCGGCAATGGGTGGGTAATTCAAATGCATCCAGAAAACACACATGCAGGCTATGATAGTCGTTCCTCCATAGCATTTTTTAGCGCATACTCCCTGTGATTCAGAAGATACTATTCTGACATCAAGGCTAATAGCAATGACAGGCTCTTCCTATGTGAATTTGTCTAATCACCTTTTAAAGCCATCTAAACCTTCCAAAGTTTCTCTCTTCAATCCAGAGTCTCCCTGCATTTAACTTAAGTAAATCATTTCAGTTTCTAATATTGTGAAAAATATTTTTCTCAGGTCCTTGATTTCCTGACAGTGTTAACTTTATATAATTTTTTAGTTGCCCTATCTATTGATTAACCTCATAACCTTTTCCATCATCTCTTGTCTTTATTTATTTATTTATGAGACTTATATACCGCTTTAAGTGCAAGCACTCTCTAAGCGGTGTACACCAGTAAGCAATGAATATACATTGTATATATATATTTACATTGCCCCCAACAATCTGGGTCCTCATTTTACCTACCTCGGAAGGATGCTCCTCACAGGATACAGCATTTTTTTTTCATTAGCAGTTTCTTGCTTCTATTTCCTATAGACATTATTTTCTAGTTGGTTCCTTTTCATTGATCCCTTTTGTAGGGATTATTTTATCTTGATTTGAACTTTTTCATTCTTTGTTCCTTTTATTCTTAGTCTCCCGAACTCTCTTCCCAGCTCTTACCTTCTTCCTTCTAAGATTTAATTCATCACAGAAGAAGAATCTTTTGCTCTGAGAAATCACACAGGCAGTCAGAAGCAAAAGCTTCTCTTCTACCAATACTGTCTATGAAAGTGCTGGTTGTTCATCTATTATAAAGCAAGAGGGGGGTGTACACTAGGTCAGGGGTAGGCAACCTTGGCTCTTTTATGACTCGTGGACTTCAACTCCCAGAATTCATGGGAGCATGGCTGGCTCAGGAATTCTGGGAGTTGAAGTCCACGAGTCATAAAAGAGCCAAGGTTGCCTACCCCTGCACTAGATCAGTGTTTCCCAAACTTGACAATTTTAAGGCATGTGGACTTCAACTCCCAGAATTCCACAGCCAGCGTTGCTGGCTGTGGAATTCTGGGAGTTGAAGTCCTCATGCCTTAAAATTGTCAAGTTTGGGAAACACTGCACTAGATAATTCTCACTATGAGTCCATAATGCCAATACTAGAAAATCACTTTTTGTACAGGTGGCAGTCCCTGACTCACTTTGTCGGCATTCAGAAATTAAATGGGCTCTGATTTGTTTAGTACACTTAGGCATTGAAAAAAGTGATGTATGATTGATTTTCACACTTACAACCACATCCTCATGATCACATGATCAAAATTCAGAAGCTTGGCAACTGACTCGTATTTATGACAGTTGTAGTGTCTCAGGGTCATGTGATCACCTTTTGCGACCTTCTGACAAACAAAATGAATAGGGAAACCAGATCCACTTAACAACCATGTTACTAACTTAACAACTGCAATGATTGACTTAACAAAGTGGCAAGAAAGGTCGTAAAATCAGGCAAAACTTACTTAATGAATGTTTTTCATAGCAACAAAAACTTTGGGCTTATTTGTGGTTGTAAGTTGAGGACTACCTGTATTTGGAGGGGAAGGCAACAATATCAGAGAAAAATGCATTGGCAAGCTACTTTTGTTCTATTGACAAGAACATTACATGGCTGTGTCCACATAGGCACAAACAATCAATCTGACTTGAGTTTACTAAGATTACAAGTAATTAAAACCACATCATGCATATCAATATAGCAAACACTGCTGCTGTAGTATCTGAGTATTTACAGTTAGATTGTTATCAGCGGTTAAAATCCTCATGCATGGATGAAAAGTGTATAGAATTTTGATGTGCAAAATATTTAATATTACTTATTATGGACAATGAATAAAGCTGAAATGACAGTTCTATATTGATATGCATCATTTACAAAGTACTGAACTTGAAAGAGAACCTCTAATTTTATATATTAAGAATTTTTTTATGGCTTAATCTGAAGATAAAATGCCCACAGCCGATTCAAGGTTGTTTTTTTTTTTTCTTTTTGCTTGAAGTAAAATGGAATATTCAATCAGCTCACCAGTGAAAGTGCATGCTATTCAAGACTAGCCAAATTATTCTGGCAGCTGAAACAGAACATCTCAAATATAAAAGTACTATGAGAAGAAATGGCAAATAGCTGCTTTTTCATGACATCCAAAACCAGTTTCCTGAGGTAGTTTGTTCTGTCTTACGACAGGGCTGGGGTTGTAACATTCAAAGATATTAATACTCCTATGCTTCATGCCTATATAGAAGTTGCATATTTTCTTAGTCCTAGATATGCAGCTAAACCTCTCAGAATCCCCTTAATTCAAGGACACAAAGACCCACTTGCTCCTTTTTATCTCCTTTCTAGGTCTCCATATGCTGCTAGATTGTGAAAAAACTGCTATGCCATTAGATTTTATAGAGGTATATCTTAGAAGAACACGCATAAAATCTTGTAGGCAAACAAATGAACAAGTGTAAACTAGAAAGTATATTGATAAAGAGGTGAAAAATACAAAAGTTATCTACCAAAAGGTTTTCTACATTGTTCAAGTAATCTTTTATACAATAAGACAGGTGGGTGAAGAAACCAGATTCACATACATTTAACACCTGATCTTATTCAAAATTAATCTCCCCATGTTTAGAGGAGCTTACTCCCAAGAAGGTAAAAATGCCTAAGTTTATCATAAGCAATAATTTGAGAAGAAAATGGCATTGTCATTTTTTCTTAAATAAAAGGAAATATTTGCTAGAATAATTACTTACCTAACGTGAGAGAGATCAGAAGAAAGGGCATTGCCCAGAGGTAACATTTGGGGATCTCCTGATGCACAGCTGAGTATGTACCCATTATTTTTTTGCCTTTTGTACCAAGCATATGGGCAAACAAAAAAAGTTTGCCTGTTGGTATTGCAGAAGAATAGGAACTCACATTCTGCCCAGCAAATGTCACACTTACTAATATTACCACAGCTCTCTTCATAGCTCTCTGTTGCCTAAAGGAGTGCCACTTTTGGACTTGCTGAAGCTCCTTGCCTGGAAAAGTGCTAATCTCTATCAGCAAAGCTGCAGGGAGAGGTGGGGAATATGTTAAGAACAGTCTCTCAGCTAAACCCAGAATTTGCACTTGAAAAATAGATTTTCAAGTAGTCTTTTTTCAAAACCCCTCATCCCCTAAATTTGTTAAAAAATACATTTGTCCCAGTTACTTATATCATGAGAATTATAATGGATTTGGGGCCCTAAATGAAACAAATATGATTCACATTTCTTGATGTTATTGTAATTCTATAGGGCATATAAAGTAAGCTAATTTTGAAGGAAGATGAGATGTAACCTTTCAAAAAGTAGGCCTGAATAACACTTTTTAGCTTCCTAGAATTAATTTTCTTCAACCTTCCTGATTTCATTTTGCCTTTATCCAATTGAGGTTTTGAAAACAGCCTAAGTAAACTTGCATATTGTCAGGGAGGACCAATAGTAATTGTTGCGTCCTTGGCGGGAAAACAGACACAAGAAGCAGCTGGAGTTCTCAGTTTCTTTTATTCAGCGTTCAGCTTACAGGAAGATGGCTTCAGCCTCGCCCAAACGCCTCGCAGCCTCTTATATAGGCAACTCCCGGGTAAATGGGTTACTTTTCCCGCGCCAGCACCCGCGCATGCGCACGGCGCTGGCGACAGCCTGTCTGGTCCCGGGCAGCTTTGCACCTGCCCGGGACTGCCTGCAAACGCCCGAGCCGTTTGCAAAGGCTCGGGACATAACACCCCTTTCCCCCGGGCTAAAACTACTACCAACATACAACATTTATTTTATATGACATTTTGCTCCCCAGTGCTCCCACTGTTTACTGGCCTTTGCCTTGCCAGCAATGTTATGTAGTCTTCTAGGTACTTAGGAGATTTCTTTGCTCTCTGTGACCTTCTTAGCTGTGGGTTACTGGCATAAGTCCCCTGACTGGAGGGAGGCGTGAGCCTGTTCTTTCTATTGTGCCCTGGTGTCTTCCAAGGACTGTGCCCCGATGCCTGGCCTGCTTGCTTGCCCACCGGGCTCGTCAGGCCAGGGCTTCTGTTACTTTGTGACCTGGTTGACCTACCTAGCTGTAGACCCTCAGGCCCCTTGAAGTGATAGCCGCTGCTGGGCGTCTCTGTAGAACCTCCTAGGTCAGTCCAAGACCTGTCAGGAGGCTGTCCATTCCCTGAACCCCATTCTGTGCTCGGGCTCGTGTGGGTTTCTGTACTTTCCCAAAACTCAGGTGTTCCCTGATTTGTGCTAGGGTTGTTGTAGTCGGGACTTGGTTCCTCGACTAGCTCTGTGTATGTTTGACCCCCTGTAGGATTTGGGGTAAGGTCAGGCCAACTTTGGGGATTGTGTGCCAGCTCTCTTGCGGGGAATGATTTGTTGGGATGCCCCCGGGTATCCTCCGTGACTGGAGTGCTATGTGACGTGTGTGGAACGTGAGTATGCCCCCGGGGTGACTCCCTGGCTGGAGTAGGCGTGGATGCCTGTTGTGTGGGTAAGCTCCATGACTTCCTTTTCGGAGCAATTGCGGAATCTTGGGACGGGCCGTTTGTGGCTCCCTCAGTGGAGATGGGCAGTAACTCTTGCCCTTCCCTTTGCTCCAAAGGGTCCCCCTCCCCCCCTGGAAAAGACCCAGGAGTCTCAGCAGAAAAGTCTCGCCTAGAGCGAAGTTGGTCGATGTGCCGACGTAGGACACGACCGTTGTCCAGGGCAACCTCGTAGGAGAGAGGACCTGTGATCCTGGACACAGAAGCGGGGACCCATGTATGACCAGGCCCGTAATTGCGAGCCCAAACCGGGGCACCCACAAGTAGTTGTCTAGGTGCCCTAGGATGTGAGGTAGATGAAGGCAGTCTGTCCGGATGCAACCGGTCAAGTCTAGTAGTAAGTTGGCGCCCCCAACGAAGTTCAGCTGGACTTCTCCCTGTAGAAGTGGACGGTGTGGTGCGATAAGAAAGGAGAAAGTCAGCCAACCTGTGATGCCAGTCCCCGTAGGTGAGTCTCTTCAAGGCGTCCTTTGCGATGCGCACCATGCGTTCCGCCATACCGTTGGTGGACGGGTGAAAAGGCGCAGACGTGGCATGACGAATCAGGTTTGCCTGTAAGAAAGCTTGGAATTCGGAGGAGGTGAATTGAGGGCCGTTGTCGGACACGATGACATCTGGCAGCCCGTGTGCAGCAAAAATCCCCCTCAGTACCTGAATAGTCTTTGCAGTGGTGGTGGATGAGACAGGCACAACCTCAAGCCATTTTGAATGGCTGTCAACAAGGACCAAGAAGAACTGGCCCTGAAAGGGCCCAGCGTAGTCAATGTGCACCCTAGACCATGGGGACTGTGTTTCCTCCCATCTATGCACAGGAGCTTGGGGCATCTCTGGGCGAGATCGTTGGCACAGGTGGCATGCGTGCACCTTAGCCTCAATATCTTTATCTAAAGCAGGCCACCACAAGTGGCTTCGTGCAAGAGCCTTCATACGGACAATGCCAGGATGACCCTCGTGGAGGGATTCTAAGACCCTAGTCCTCATTGAGGTGGGAATGACAACTCTGTTTCCCCAAAGCAGACAACCCTGAGAAAGGGACAGTTCGTTTCTTTTGGACCAGAAACTCTGAAACTCAGGACTAGGGCAGTGCTCAGGCCACCCGGACAGGACCCAGGAGCGGACACGTGAAAGTGTGTGATCTGTACCTGTTTCAGCGGTAACATCCCTGGCACTAAGAGGGAGCTCGGGCAAGGCTTGGATTGATAGAATGTTGACAGCTGGCGCGGGGTCAGCTTCTACTACTGGCAGAGGCAACCTACTGAGGCCATCAGCATGGCCCATTTCTTTCCCAGGCTTGTGGAGTAATGAAAAATCATATGCAGACAAGAAAATAGACCACCTAAGCATTCTAGGGGAAATGATGTGGGGAGTCTGCTTACGTGTGGTAAACAGTCCCAGCAGAGGCTTATGGTCAGTGAAGACCATGAAATGCCTGCCATATAGAAAATCGTTGGAATTTTTTAATTCCAGCAACAAGCCAGAGCCTCCCTGTCTATCTGAGCGTAGTTGCGCTCGGCAGAAGACAGTGTTCTGGAGTAGTATGCAATAGGAACCTGAGTTCCATCAGACCTGAGGTGACTCAGGACAGCTCCAACCCCGTAGGGGGATGCATCACAAGCGATGCACACAGGAAGAGACTCGTTGAAATGTGCAAGAACACTGTTAGAAGTGAGCAAGGCCTTCACTTCTTTAAAGCAAGCCTCATGTGCTTGTGACCACAGCCACACAGCTTGTTTGTCTAGTAGCCTGTGAAGAGGCTCAGCTACACTAGCTTTATGTGGAAGAAAAGAATTGTAGAAATTCAGGAGGCCTAGGAAGGCCTGAAGTTCGGCCTTAGACTTTGGCCTGGGTGCTTGTAAAATAGCAGTTAGTTTGGATTCAGCAGGATGAATCCCAGCAGCATCAATTTTGAATCCCAGAAATTCAGTAGAAGGCACCCCGATCTTGCATTTGTCTTTTCTGAGCTTGAGGCCTGATTCCCTGAATCTTAACAGGACAGCCCTAAGTCTTTCAGCTAGAATGTGTGTGGAGTCTCCTGCAATCAAGACATCGTCAAAGTAGGGGCAGACCCCTGGTATACCTCGTAGTGTGTTTTCCATTACGCTTTGGAAAATCCCAGGAGCGACATTTACTCCAAACTGTAGCCTTTTTACTTTAAAGGCTCCCCTGTGGGTCACAATGGTCTGAGCTATGGCAGCATCATCATCAACAGGCAGCTGTTGATATGCTTGAGCTAGGTCAAGCTTTGCAAAAACACGCCCCCCCTTGAGAGAGGCCAGGATGTGACTGACCACAGGAACAGGATAGGCATGTTGCTGCAATGCCTTATTGAGTGTGCATTTGTAATCAGCACAAATGCGAATGTCCCCATTTGCCTTTAGAGGCGTGACAATGGGGGTCTCCCACGGGCTGGAATCAACAGGTTCTAGGATTCCCTGTTGGATTAGTTTGTCTAGTTCAGTGTCAATCTTACTTTTTAAAGCAAAAGGGACCCTTCTTGCTTTAATCCTAATGGGAGTGACAGTGGGGTCTAGCTTTAAGGACACAGGTGGTCCTTTGAATGTGCCCAGCTGGGGGCTGAAAACATCTGCAAATTCTTTGCAGACTTCCTGTAGGTCGAGTGTTTGTAAGCTGTTGAGTCCTGTGACGTGTATCCCCAGGGCCTCAAACCAATCGAGTCCTATGAGACTCGTTCGTTCACCCCCTACTACTAATAAGTCTAGTGGACCTTCAAAACTCTTGTATTGCACGTTAAGGGTGGCCTCCCCCTTAACACACACTCTTGAGTTCTGAAAATCTGTTAATACAATATCAGAAGGCCTTAACTTGGCCTTAGACCCACTACTGGAACAAATCTTCCTAAATGTATGCAATGAAATGATGGACAGGGCAGACCCTGTGTCTAGTTCCATAGATAATGGAACCCCTTGTAGCTTCACGTTGAGTGACAGCTTTTTCTTCATGGGCTTGTGTGTGCCTGTTCTACAGATGCTTCTTCGCGAAGCGCAAAACCCTACCCTATTCTGGCTGGGGAATCTGGTACCTTTCAGGCGTTCTTCTTGGGGTTGTGCCTTTCGTCGGCCCAGACACACAGCTGCAATATGCCCTTGTTTGCCGCATGCCCGGCAGGTAGCGGAGCGGAACTTGCAGTCGGTTCTCCTGTGGCGACCTCCACAGCCGATGCACTTGAGCAGAGCCGAAGAGCTTCCCTTCTGGTTCTCTTCCTTCGCGGGGTGTAGACGGTCGACTTCCTCGTCCGGATCCTCCTCGGAGTTTCGTCGGACGTCTTCCTGGTGCACGGACGCACCCTCTGCACTGTTTCTGATCGGCCGCATGTTTTTGATGGCGCCGCCTGCTGCTTCTTCTGCGGTGACTTCCCTTAAGGCGTCTTGGAAGGATAATTCTTCCTTGGCAAAAAGTCTCTGTTGTAGCTC